AATTGTCTGCAATAAGCAGCTATATATGTATTTATAGGTTAAGGTGCGTTTGGACTTACGCGTAAAAAGTACTAATGCGAACTAAAGTCTGCTTACGGGAGTGCGACCGTTCGGGAAGTAATAACAGTGCGATTTGTGACACTGGAGAGACTCATCACGATGGAGAGACTCATGTTTCACTGTGGGATGTACAGCCACACGTCCATAGTCGATGGAGGACTAGAAAGCTACATCAAGAAGACAGGAGCAGAAGAATGCTGAAATATATCCGCTACCGATCGATACAACTCTACGAGAAGACGGCAACGAAATCCACCTACGAGAAGGAGTAACATGCTCATTCATCAACGGCTACTGCTTCGACTCTACAATAGGCGAAATAACCTGGGAACAATACAAAGACAACAGTTGTGAAAGTCAATTGTCACAACTTTACAGAGGACACGGCGAGAAGATCACTAATAAACAATCACTAGAAGAACTGGTAATAGTAGAACAAGATAAAAACATATTTGCTCTAACGCTACACAAAAGGGCTATAATATGTAACACAGAAGTATGGCAAACTGAACACCCCGAATCCTAATAAATTTCCTAATAAACAACAAAATAAATCCTAGTATGCCTCTCCTACCTCAAAACGTAGACCTAATGACCTACATCAATAGCAAATTCCTTTACACCGAACAATCCTACCAAAGAGAAATAGAAAATCTATACTTAGACACAGTACTGCGACGATGCCAAACAAAGAGAGAAATTTTAAAAAACAGATTACTAATGGCCCCATCCTTACCTAACGCTGTCAGTCAACTAATGCAGAACATGCCAGGGTACACAGGAAGAGTACTAGGAGAAGTACTCTACATAATGCAATGCATACCGAAACCAGTGACCATACGAAGAACAAACAAATGTTTCCATGAACTACCGATCACCCTACTAAACCAATCAAAATTTATGTCACCAGTAACAAGAATAATTCAAGATTATGCCGAAGAAATAGATTGCAACCATGTAACACCCCCGATGTACTACGTAGAAGAACAATGGATCAGCTTGACACCACACCCAACCAAGGCAGTCAACCCCACAGAAATCTCGACAGAAACAGAATCATTGATAGACATGGTCCCACTACAACCATTGGCAGCCGGCGGAATATACACGCAACAAGAAATACAAGAAGCCCAAAGGATAGTCATGTTTGGATCAGAAAGAAAGGCAGTAGAGAACATAATTACCAGAAGAACAGCAGGCCGAGAAACAATAAACCAAGGGTATACATTAACCAAAATGTTTGATGAAAACGAATTAAAAGAGATCGCTCACTCTACCCTCAACAGAATATGGGGATGGTTATCCACACTAGGAAATATCACCAGCGGCCTGATTGGCGTATATTTAATATACAGAACAATTATATATGCCTGCGAAATAATACTGAATGGGTTAAGGATATACCAAACAATAGGATGCAGCTACATAATCATAGCAGGGCTATGGACAAATCTCACCAACTGGGTAATACACCGACACCAAAAACCAAAAGATGAAGAAAGAAAGATAAACCTGAACGCACGCGACGAACAACCAGAGTCAGAGGATGAACACTGGACAAAAAGATGTAGCAAACACATACCAGAATGTAGCAAACACATACCAGATACCAATTTAGCAGAAGTATAATGAGACAAAGCAAAGCAGTATCAACCTGAGACGACCACCCAGCAAGGACAAACCAACGGAGGCAGACAGCAGCAGTAACGCATCAATATAGTTAACTCGACACGTGGAATTGGCAAACGGACATTAAAACAGCCAAGACGACGCGAGTGAAGTGCGGATAATTCCCACAGGGATACGCGATAAAGTGTGAACAGTGAACGCAAAACGCGAGTACAATCGTATAGAACAATTAGAATACGCTTGTCGTAATGGACACATGTAATCACGAACAATTGTAATAAGCTAGGAAAGTCTTTCACTTGTTAAGTTTCAATAAGATTAATACAAGATTAACTCAACTTGTCATACACATAGGTTTAATACGGGGGCAGCACGATACATTCGCTGACCACGGTACAATAGTCTATAAGAAACAGTAAATGATAAAATATAAATTGGGACTTATATAAAAAATATATATAGTAGATTATAAGTAATATAATATGTAACTAGATAAATTTATTGTTGGAAAAGGAAAAGGCCCCTCGGCCCTTTTCTTTTTTTGCGTAGGGAGTAATGTAATGTAAGCGTAGCAAGTGAGTGAGAAGTTGGAATAAAGGGATAATGGAACAATAAGTAGCATAGAAAAGATAATAATTATTCGAGATAATTATCATATATTCCAAATTAAATAAGGGATAATTAATACAGTTAACTTATACATTTAAATTATACAAAGTATAACAATTGACCTAGTTATTGCATTGTTTGATAATTGTTTTAAACGTATAAAAAGCACGAAACATCCGTGACCCAAATAGGCAGCAATAATACCAAAACTGCAACTCAGCGAACCTACGACCTTGGTACTAGAACCGGCGTTGAAAGTACGACCACAATAAAACAAGAAGAAACGACGGACGCCGGGTAGTCAGTAGTCAGTCAGTCAGTAATAGCGGGCCACCGTGACGGGGACGCGACAGCGTCCCGTACGCGTCCAGCACGCGAGACAGTCGGTGATTTTCCGGGGGCCGGGTATCTTCTGTCAGAATTCGCGTGTAGTCCGGTTATTGTGGCAGCTCGAAAGTTCGCAACCCTCAACTGACCGAGTTCCAGAAGACTGAACGTGTCGTGGTTGAAGCCCTAATATACACATAAGGTAACAGATTTCTTATACTAACCTGTGTAATTATATTTGTACCTCTGTCAACTTTTCACTATCTTGCTACATCGTCTCCCGACGCGCAGAATAACGTGTTAACGATTGTATTAGGAACTTCAGGGTAGATTCAATATATTGTTGACTCTAATATGGTTTTTTTTAATGTTCCTTCGTCCGACTCACTAGAGACTAGGAGAACACGAGAATTTGCGTATACATATCTCCGGCTTCAAAAGTAAGCCCATAACCTCTACTCTTTACAGGACCTGAGACCGAGGAGTTCTTACCCTATCCCGAAATCCCTTATCTTCTCGTAAATCCACGAAGACGAGCCAGCCTCCAGACCAGTGTGACCAGTATTCCTTGCAGCCGCTCGCAGGGTTAGCATCCCTTGAGGATCTATTGTATTTCATTTGGTGACAGCGTTTCCATTACCCTCATATAACGCTCCCATTCTGATTCAATTACACCAGAATGAAGCAAAGGGGCCATCAAATCAAAAACAACACTATCAGATATGTTTCCTGTCCTTTCTAGATCTCTCCCAGTGTAGACTTTATAACCGTATGTGTATCCACCAGCCACACAAAGTTTAAACACTTTGATCCCCTAGCGATGTCGTTTATTTGGGATCTACTGGCGAAAATGAAGCTGGCTCCTCCACGGTAAATTACTATTATCAATGCAGTCATGTTTCTCAGGGACATACGCGTTTGGAAGGAATTTTTTATGATACTGAGAATTTATTTTAGATGAGATTTTATGTAAACGATCATTGGGCTGCCAGTTGTTGTCATCCGCGAAATGAAGCATTCTTATCAAAATTTCGAATCTATTTCTCGATATAACCTTGCCAACTTGATTCTTCAAAAGTCGGTTTGTTGACCAGTACCAATTGATTTTACTGTACTTACAAAATCCCATCCATATCAGAAGTCCAAGTAGTGTTTTTATTTCACTCACAGTAGTGTTTTCCATGCATTTAGTCTAGATGTACTATTTGGATTAGCTCCCAATGCTTTTTCAGCATATTTATTGGTCTCTGTTACATAATATCCAGAACAACGATGGAAATGAAGTATAGAAAGTATGCAGTTGGGTACTGACCTTGAAGTTCCAACAAGATATCATTTTTGAATCCAACATTTTCCTCAGGGCTAGGCCTCAAGGCTAGTTCTTTATCTTGTGCAAATTCTGGCTCCTCTGCGAGCTGTTCAACTCAGGAACGAGCTAGTTTCTGTGTGAACTGTTCAACCTGTAAAGGACCTATTTTCTGTGTGAACTGTTCAACTCGTGAAGGACCTGGTTCCTGCACAAGCTCTTCAAGTCATCTTATTTTTGATTTTGAACAAATATCTTCATTATTACTTGTGTCTCCTCCACTAGAGTCATCACTATCACTATCAGGTTGAATGTTAAAATCCGGATCTGCATCTGAATCGTCTATAGGTTCAAGAATCCGCAATTAACCTCTCGAATTCCTCCTGTATCAATGGTTTTGATCTGTTAGATTTTCTATACATTTTACGGAATTCTGTTTATAAGATAGGTAATTTTACATGTTTATAGCTTTATTTAGATTAACAAATTGTTTCCTGTGATCACTCTCTGAAACAAAAGAAAGAGAATGACACCAAAAGCGACACTACATACTCATTTTAGCTGAAAATATCTGTGATCTCCACGAAGGTCACGTGGTACATCAATTCAAATTTAAGTTGTGGTACCACGTGACCCTCATGGAGATCACAGGAAAATTAGGAATCACTCAAAAACAAAAGCAGATATATTTATAAAACAAAAATAATCATGATCTCTGAAGGAAAGTAGATGATATTTTTAATGAAAAAAAAAATGTTTTTTGACAAAAAATTTTTGACACCATCTTTTATATGGTAATGAGGCTGTCGTCCAATGTGTTAATAATCTTGTGGATATCTAAGTTAGACAGTTTTTTATAAATCTCTGAAATAGATATACTAAATTGGGATAAATTTATTACTTGTAATGAATTGACCAGAAGCTAAAATATTATCCTGCGAAACATAGGCTCTATCACTATAAGTTTTTGAAAGTATTAATAAAACAAATTAACAATGTAACTTATTGATAAATTCTTTCAAGGTGTTCCTTGATTACGATTTTTTTTTCAACAACTTTTTTATTTTAGTCATGCGGTTCAAGATTGGAGGTCAAAAGGAGTCCGCGTAATGGCCTGGACAGTTAACAGTCCCATAGAAAAGCAATATATAAGCCGTATTCTTAAGGTCACTTACCTCACTGATACACTCACAGGTGAAACTACAATTCACAGCACTTTGCAATCTTAATAGAGTGATTTTAAAATAGTAAATGTTTAAAATATGCAAATGGATCGTCAATATGATTAAATTAATTAATTTGAATGCAAGTTAATATTAGATCTATAAATTAGATTTATAGTGTTAGTAAAATGAAAGTTTTTTGTGCTATATAGATGGTATACAGTCTGGAGACATTCCCTTCTAATAAATTACTTTTTTTTGCTTATTTTAAACTATTTTTTTGTTTCAACAGGATGACTGCAGTTTTTGTCGTTATAGTTTCATTTTTTTTATTCAGCATACACATTCATGTTTTTTAGTTCCTTTTTGTCATTCTATTAGTTGCTTAAAGTGGTTTAATTATCTCTCTATTATTGTTCCTCAAATTCCTTTACTAATCTATCCCTTTTTTATTTTAATATAACATTGATTATTGATATATACTATATATCTTGTATTTTACCTAAAGAAAGTCTGAATTGCATATCAACATTGTAAGAGTTAAATTTGCAGCTAACTTAGGCAGCTTAGTAATTATATTTTGAATTCCATATACACTCCTCGATACAGGTACAATTGTTTTGAAGTTATTTTAAATTTTATTATATACAAATACTATTTATATAAATTTATTATGTATCATTGAAAATTATAAATAAAATTTTCTATATCCCATCTTGATTTATTTATTAAATGGGAGAACCTCCTTGATAGGTGCTTATGAAAATAAGTAAAATATGACAAAAAGTTACCAAACAAATCAAAAAGTACTCCTTTACCTTACAATCTGTTCAAGGAAGTATTGTAAAGATGGTAATCATTAACTACTGGGCACTAGATCTAGTAAATGTAATATTCTTCAGGACTACAATCCTTATTTAAGCTTATACAATCGTCAAATTTATTTATTCATGCATATAACTGCATGTCATTTGCAGGGAAATATCCCTGAGAAACACTGGAAAAAGTTGAAATGGGATTAGATAAATGGTTCCCAATTTTAACTAACTGTTTTTATATGTATGGCTTCATGATGAGGTCATAAGGGAAACTTCATTTTTTAATATATTCTGATAATGAATCAACCCTTCTTATTGAAGGTTTTAGTAAAGTCAGTTTAAATAACATCTATTTGACTACCATATTCATGGAATTAATATTATTCTGCAATATCAAAAGGTTATTAACAGTGGACCTGGAAAATTGATTTATATTTCCAATATCACAATATAGAATTTTACGAATTCTATCGCTCTAATGGCACTAAGCCCAATTTGAGCCTCCAGATTATGCTCCTAACCTTGTCTGTCCCATGTCGATTTTCTTCTCTATTTTGCACATCTAGCAAATTTTGTGTGTCATAACCATAACCACTCTCTACATGGTTGTCCAGTCCATCAAAGTTTTTGAAGTTTAACGAATTCTGAGATCGGTGACTCTTTGAACAGTTGGTAGAGTTCATTGTTGTACTTGGATTTTCATACTCGATTTACGTTAATGGGTCCAAATACCTTCCTTAGGACTTTTCTTTCTAAGACTTCTAGCTTTCATTTTGTGTCTTCTGTCATCACGCAAATGTCAAAAATATTTCGGCTTGGCAGTGTTGGCATGGTTTTATAATGCGTATATTGTATGCTTCAAATATAAAGAGATAAAGCTTTTAAAAAGTACATTTTGATTATACTATTTTATTAATTCTGCAATTTTTAATATATATGAAGCAGTAACGAGTAGATATTTATCTCTTTCGAGATTAATTGCAAACATCTGCTGTAATCCGGCAACTGCAGATTTGAGAATTGCCAAATCTATCCCCTAATCTACCAAAGGGAAATTGCTAAAAAAATTCCAATAATTAACTGCAATTAATCTCCAAAGAAACAAATATTTACTCATTGTTGTTTAATATAAATCAAAAATTGCAGAATGCATAACATAATATAAACAAAATGTACTTTTCTATAATAATAGTCTCCCGTTTTATACCGCACGCGGCTTTGGGAGTATAGCAGGGTAGTTGCTATATCTAGGGCTACGGTTATACAAGGAAGGTAACATGGCCAGTGCTACGCTTCAACGCCTATTATTACCCCTGGTTTTACCCAAGGTACTCATTTTATTCAGGCTGAGTCGACCTGGGGCCTATAGACATTTTTAAAAATGTCTAGTTGTTCTTGCCGGCGGTAGGATTCGAACTCACGACCACCGGCATGCGAGGCAAGCACACTACCGCTTGCGCTACGCAGGCCCTTAATGTACTTTTCTAAAGCTTTATATTTGAAGCATACAGGATCTACATTATAAATACATGCCAACACTGCTATGTCGAAATTTTTTGTTCCACGTTTGACGTTTGCAGCTATAATCAGCTTGTTCTTTAGGTAAACTCAACCTATTATGAATTATCTAGAGATCTCTATCTTATCTTGCTATGATTCTTACAAGTTGATCTTAATATAGATGTAACATAATAAAAAACTATTGTATAGTTTAGACTCTATTTAAAATCTAATAAAACAGTATCAATCACAGTCTTCTTGTAGTATATTGTCTTCATTCAAACTCACTTGTAAACCTCTAGCCCAAACTGGAGGCAGTGTGGCAAATGTAAGGTATCCTGTATGGCCAGGAAGTGTTGCCGGAGGTACAGAGACTACAGTTTTCAAATATTCCTTCTGCTTTTTCTCTCGTTCATTTTCATCCCCTTCAGTTTTCAAAAAATCCAAACTAACTATTGGAATAGTTCTTTGTTGTACAGACAACTGTGTTTGTAGCACTTCCAACGTTTGAATTTCCTAAAAATTGATACTATATAACCCACATAAAAATAAAAGCATAGGTAGGGGTTTAAAAAGAATGGGAGCAAATACTTACTTGAAAGCCCAGCTTCAATAATATAAGGCAACTCTTTTGAACTTGCTCTATACATGGTGAGAAAGAACAAATCCTTCCTCCAGTTGTTTTGATGGATTTAAGTGCATGTGTTATGGCAAACCATGGATGAGGTAAATCTAAAAACACAGCATCAGCTTTACCATCCAAGTCTTCCCCAAAGCCATTTTCACAAACGTCTCGGTGTTTAACTGTAACATACTCCGAGAAACCATGCTCTGAAAATTCGTCTGCAGCTGTTTTTGACCTATCTTCGTGAAAATCAAAAGTGTATAGATGTCCATGAGGTTTCACTGCCCTTATTAGAGCATGCGAAAGGGATCCACTTCCCGTACCGCTTTCAATAACTACACTACCAGGAGATAACTCTAATTGTAAAATAATCATACTTATATCAGGTGTATAAATAATTTGTGTCCTGTGTGGTAAAGTTATTGTCCATAATTCAGGAGTAGGTTGCAGAGCATATCCCCAACCTTTACTAAGGGATATTCTAGTTCCGTAATTTTTACCGATGAGGTCTGCACATTTTAGGGCTCCATAAGATGTTTGGAACACATTCTCTACTTCTACACCTTTCTTGTTTATAATCTTAGACTGGGCTTTTATTGGATATACCTGGTTAATTGTGAGATACAATATTACTGTATCTCCCTCTTTGATTATATTGTGATATCCGTTAAAACTCATATTTAAATATTAGTTTATTATTTTACACATGCGTTTATGTTTTTGTATATAGTTTCTAAATCTAACCTATACTGAAAATACCATACACCGTAGTCGTAGGTAGTATACAAATCTAAAAAAGAAGAAGAATTAACCTAACAACTTTACAGCACAGTATAAATAACTACAGCTTTACTGACAATACCGTAAACCGTACTCGTAGGTAGTATACAAATCTAAAAAAGAAAAAGAATTAACCTATAACAAAAAAACAAATATTTTCTGGGAAATATTCAAATGTTAGAAATCCAAGATTTGCGTGATTTTTCAATTCAAAATTGGTACGACAAGCTTAAAGATGTAACTATAAAAACAATTATACTAGAGCTACCTGAGCAACTGTTGAAGAAAATCAAAATGAAGAAATTCAAGACTCTGAAGATGAAAACGTTTGTAATGAAACGGAGGAAGAACTACCTGAGAAATTCATTCAAGATTTTAAAAATGCAATAAACACGTTTGAAAATAATGCCTTTGTAAGAAACAACTGGCACGCACCGGTTGACGCAAGAGTGTTTAGTTTTGGTAATGCTTTAAAAGTAGTAAATCTGGATGATGTAATAACATATTTTATGAGTTCAAGTAAGATTCAGGAAGATTTTTCTGTCGCCAAAAACATTCCATTCTGTATAGCTTTACGCAAATGGATAAGCATACATCCAGCAGCTGAATTCAGATGCATAGTCATTAATAACATTTTAAGAGGAATCACCCCTCGAGACTGGCCAACTTTTTATGCACATTTCAAGGAAGAAGGACCGCAAATTATCGAAGAACTAACACAGTTTTATAATGAAAATGTCAAGATTAAATTCCCGAGGAAAAATTATATTTTTGATGTTGTATTTCAGTACCCAGAAAAACCATATCTGCTAGACTTTGAACCTTTAAACTCCAAAACGAACTTACATGCATTTAGTTGGAAAGAAATCCAACCTCTTTTTGGGTCAAGAAGCTCCTGAAGATATTGCACCTGTGTTCAGGTATTTAGAAACTGATATTGGGATTATGACTAAAGCTGATGCCTTAAAAACATTTACTAGATGTAATTAATATTATAATTTTGTACATGATACTTATTAAATTGCCCTAATATTGTTGCCTTCAGTTTATTATTTAAATTATATATAGTACAGTTGGTTTCTGATTGACACTGTCCAATGAGTGATTATGTGTTTACATATCTCATTAGGCATGTATGGTATGTATGGACGTATATGTAACTTGCTCACTCCAGAACCCAATGTTTTATGGGATTATATCATTATGTGAATGAGATTTTTCCTTTGAATGGAGTAAAAAATAAAGGTACTAGTGTAATAAGCCGGAACCATGTTTACGGAGATGAAATTTATATCAATGAATTCTGCTTCACTTAGTAATAATTGTGCAATGATTTTTATTCGGTGCAACACGTTCTTTTTTATGCAATTTTCATTTAAAATATGCCCGATTTTTAAAAGCCACCGCCATTATTTACCTACTTTTAACTGAGAATTATAGCTTTTTTACAAAGGTTAGGTTAAATTTGGTTATGTTTATTATCATGTTTTCTAATATATATTATCATCATCAATATTATATCATAATATTGATGAAAAATAAAAAAATTTTATTTTTAATTATATAACAAAATTTTATTCCTATTACTTACTGCTTTTTTACCAGCGTTAGGTTAGATTTAGTTACGTTGGTTTAGGTTTTATCAAAGAATATAGACGCTTATAGAAGAGCAGTTTCTATATTCTTTGGTTTTATTGTCATGTTTTCCTATGAAATATAAAAATTTTGATTTTTAATTATATTATAACATTTTATTCTTATTACTGCTTTTTTTACCAGTGTTAGGTAAGATTTGGTTTATTGGTTTACATTTTTAATAATAAAATGTAAAGAAAAGTATGAAATTTTATGCTAATAAATATTTTAGATTTAAGTATTTTAAAAATTTAAATTATATTAAATTTTTAGGTATTTTAAATGTTAGAACTGGCAACAATGTCAAAGGTAGATAAAATTTAACTTCTTGCGCAAGGCCGCCGTATTGTTTTGAAATATTAAAAATCCTGATTATTTTAAACAATTTTAGGGATTTTTTCATAATTTCACAGTAAAAAAACAGCCGGAACGCCTCAAAAAGCCCAATTTTTTGTGGACTTAGCCGAAGAAGTGAAAAAAACCTCAAATTTTTATGTTTGCTTTGCTTTAAACTATTAAAAGTGCCCAAATAATCAAAAAGAGTATTATGAACCCCAAAAAAATTACATAAAGAGCAAAGAAAAGTATATATATATACATGTCTTAATAATAAAAACGGGTAAAATATGTAATTCCAATAATTGACTATTATTGTATTTCCCATGAATGATATTTCAATAGTGAATATCTTCAAGTATGCATAAAATGAAAAATAATTGTTATGATACATGAAATGAAAATCAAATAATTTATTTGCTATCTCTTTCGGGAGACGGTTGAGTTTACCGAAAGTACAAGCTGATTATAGCAGCAAATGTCAAACATGGAACAACAAATTTCGGTATAGCGGTGTTGGCATGTTTTTAGAATGAAAATGTACTTTTTAAAAGCTTTATCACAGAATAATCAACAATCAGAAGGGCCACTTCAGATGCCGCCTTTGAAGTTTTTCAGCACGCGCGCCATGTTTTAGGAGGACACAAACTTATGATTTGTGAGGTTATGCAATTGTTTACATTTATGTTTAATTATATTATATTTAAAACTGTTAATATAATTGTATAGTATGTCTATGATTGCCGTAAATCAAATAAACCTGGTTTTTTTTTCCATGCACACCACATAAACAACACTGGTTCCCTTTAAAATCCTCGTAAAACATGGCGGAACACCTGCGCGAAGGAGATGCGCGTACTTAATTTTCCGTGGAGAGTGAGCATTCTGTTTGTTTATTATTCTGTGGCTTTATTATGAGAAGCATTTCTGCATTATAAATACATGCCAACACTGCCAAACCAAATATTTGTGACATTTGCGACTGTTTTCAGCTTGTACTTTCGGTAAACTCAACCAATATAATGGCAACGACTAGCTATGCAACCAATAAAACATTCAATAACAATATTTTGACATAGTTGTTCTAACCTAAACACAAAAATAAATCATGGAAACCCAAATAAGAGTTTCTGTAAACAATTTTTCATCAATTTGCAGACTTTGTCTGCGACCTAACGATTTGTTACCACTATGTAGTGTAGACGCCATTCATATTTTTAAGGAAATTACAAAAATTGAGGTAAATGAAGACGATCTACTACCAAAAAATATTTGCAAGACTTGTGTCAGTCGTCTGGAAGAAATTAAACAATTTATAGACGTATGTATAGCTAATAATACATTGTTTGTCACGGCTTTAAAACATCCCTGTATTAAAAATGAAGTATCTATTGAAATACCTTGCCAAATAGACACAATAATAACAGAGGATGATGTGGAACATATTACACTACAAGAACAAACTGAGTCAAAGAAACGTGAAGAAGATGAAGAGTTTTTTCAGTGTGGTATTTGTAATAATACTTTTAAAGAGAAACAATTACTTATTTCCCATTTAAAAGAGCATGGAACTAGTAAAAAAATGAACAAAAAGATACATAGGACAAAAAATGATTTAACAACAAATAGTAAAATTGAGAAGACATGTGATAAAGGTATCAATTTTCAATACATAAATTTGTTTCTTCTACCATTTGTGCTTTTATTGATGCTGCATTTATGCTGATAAAAATATATTCTGTTTTAGTAAATTCTACAAAATTAAATTTGGCGGGCCATAAGATAGTGTTTAGAAGGAGAAAAAAAACAGCAGCACCATTTAAATGTACAAAATGTGACCGTTCTCTAACTTCACAAAATGCATTAAATGAACATATGAAAACCCATACTGGAGTTAAACCATATAAGTGTCCTCACTGCCTAAAAGATTTTTCATATATAAGTAGCTATACAGTTCATCTAAGGTTGCATACAGGTGAATGTTTTGATTTAACTATTTTGTAGTTTACTTCTCAAATATGTGGTGTAATATTTAAATATCCAGTACATAGATGAGCCAGAAATAGTGTACTTACTAAAATGATTTATACTTAGTATGTTAAAGATTGCCCATTAAAGACTCTTGTTGAAATTGGCAAAAATAATTTGGTGTCTTTTAGGAGAAACACCATACACTTGTTCAATTTGCAATAAAGGCTACCGCAGTTCTACCAGCCTAAATAAACACAAAAGAGTTAAACATTTTATTGAACAAGACAGTGATAGTCTAAGTAATTCAAGCAAAACCCAGTGTCCATTCTGTAGTAAATTTTTTGGTAAATTTGGATTTGGTGCACATTTAAGAACCCATATTAATGAGAAGAAGATAATTAAATGTGCTTTGTGCTACAAGGTTTTCCAGAAAAACTCACACTTGGAAAGACATATCAGAATACATACAGGTAAGTAAAATCACTTTAATTTTTAGATATGAGGTGGTGAAAGGAAAAGTGGTGTAACTCACTTTTTTTATACAATAGAGATAAGTGCATATTCAAAATCTCCAAATTCAAATATATCAGAAAAAACAGTGGTGTAAGTCGTACCTCAATTCATGATAATTTCCTAACCATTCGTTCATCCACAAATTCACTCAATCATACCTCTTCTATTTGCTCACAGATAGCAGCACAAACTTGACAGTCAAACAAAATCTCTGTAGTAGTAGGGGAATAGTGGTGCAAGTCAGACTTACACCACTATTCCTTCATTCCTAAGTGAGTTATTTAGTATTTTGCGGTTGTGATTTTTCAAAATAATTGATGACAACAGTTAAGTAATGTGAGTGATGAGTCTAGTATTTTCGCTTATGGGAGATGAGTGGGTACCTTCTGATTCTCAACAAGAGTAAGTTAAACTTGTGTATTATATTTGTTTGTATAAAATCAAAAGTAACCTCCAAATGTTAAATTCTCTATACTAGCAATAAATAAACTCTTATAAATAGAACAACTTTTTTAGAATGTTATTTTAATAAAGTTAGTTTGTTTCAAATTGTGAATCAAACGAGGAAGTCTCTCCTCAAGACCATGAAAGGAAAAGTAATAGAGAAGAAGTAGAAGTTCAACAACCCAAGAGATCACGAAAACGACAGAGGCATACAAATAAAAAAAAGAAAGTGGCTTCACAATTCAGGTTGTGAGTATAAGAAAACAAAAGGAACAGTATTGTAAAAATTTTTCTGAAAAGATATGTGAAGATAGAAAAAAAAACATTTGAATCATTCTGGAAATTGAAATCATGAAACCTGAAGTAAAATGTCCTAGGAATCAGTCACGACTTGGTAAGACAATGTCTAACTAATATGCTATATATATTTCATAAACAAGGCAAAACCAAGAAAGTATGTAAAAAATACTTTCTTGGAACCTTTCAGATATCTGATGGATGAATGACACGAGCCATTAATAAGATAAAACTAGGAGAACCATCTGGTTCAGATAATTGAGGCCATGGTATACCAACCAATAAAATATCTGAAGAACATATGAACTGTATCCGGAATATATTGAAATATATACCAATCGCACTATACAAGGAATAAGAATCCAATCGTAGGTATTTATCTTCTGACCTTAATGTTACCCTTCTGTATCGCTTGTACAGTGAGTACTGTCAGGAACAAGACATTTTCCCCAATTCCTATGATATTTATCGTCATACATTCAATAATGAGTACAACCTTGATTTTCATATACCACAAAAAGATACACGCTCTAAGTGTGATGCTTACAAATTAAAAAAAGCTGCAATAACAGATGTTAATGAGATAAGACAGATTGAAGTAGAACACAAATTTCATCTTAGAAAGGCCGAGCTTACACATACATGTATGAAAAATGATACAGGAAAGGCTCAGACTGACGATTCTTACTAGGCATCCACTTTTGACCTAGAGAAAGCACTAGCTTTACCAAAACTAACCACATCTATCACATATCATCTGGCTTAGGCTAGATGTATGGATGGACATCAGTGCCTATGTCACAAAGCACATAAAATTATGTGCAGCAAATTCAAAACATGTATTGTACAGTGACAGCTGTACCGGCCTAAATAGAAACTGGAATTTTACCTTGGCCTTGTTATAGTTAGTTTAAAGTGAAAATAATAGTATAGAAACAGTTGATCAGTTTAGGGTCATCTCTACGGACACTCTTACTTACCAAACGACTCAGACTTTGGTTTAATTGAAACTCACTGTAAAGGTAAACATATTTATGTGCCTGAAGATTGGTTTTCAGTCATAGTTTCTGTGTAGAAAGAAAAAGCTTCACAAAAATGCTTAGAGAAGACTTTACGATCAGACACAACTCACTAAATCAATTATAAAAAAAAACAATATGGATAACCAATCAGTGTCATGGTTAAAAATGCAGTGGACTAGATTTAAAAAAGGTTAGCCATATTCATTGTTCTATAAAGAAACACTAAATGAAGATTTTTACTTTTCACAAACTAATATCCTTCAAAGCAAGCAGAAGGGAAGACCAACAATGTTGAAAAATCTTCAACTGGATTGTCTGTACACAGCACCTCGACCGGTCATGCCAGTCAAAAAACATGATATGTGTGATTTACTACCATACATCCCTCCAGTCCACCATTCGTATTTTAGAAATCTTATATCATCTGATGAAGTCAATGACAAAGCTGGACCACTTCCTGATGTAGAAGAAAATAATGACTAATAAACTAGTGAATTTATTTTTGATTTTCTAATGTTAAAACCATACACATGTTTTGCTTTCTGTACATTATCTTTAAACTCTTAAAGGAAAAGTGTTGGGAGTTATTTCACCCCTTAAAAACCACCCTTAACATAGTTTTAATTGTACCAAAAGATTAGTAGAATTACATAGGTTCTTAATAAATAAAAAAATACCACGAACATATTCATAAATGTTACATAGATTTAATTACAATATTTCTAATAAAATCTTTTGTATCTCAAAATGATGCTCAGATGACTTACACCACTTTTCCTTTTACTGCCTCATATTATGTAAATGCTAAAAACATTGATATCTTAAATTAACTTTGCTTGCTGCTATTCTGAATAGTCCGGTTGTCGATGTATTAAACCACTTTTTCAGGTTTTGAAGCCAAGATATTCTACTCCCTGGTCCTTTCATTTTAAATACCTTACCCTGAAAAATGAGTTGCAACAAACTGTATCTCTGTTAATTCCTCATAGCATGGCCAAGATATTCTAGTTTGCGCTCTTTGATGGTGTTAATAACCTCACATTCCTTGCCTATTCTGGCAGGACCTCAAAATGTTGAAACTAATAAGTCAAAAATGGGCCATTTTTAGATATTAAAGGATTTTGGGTTGAAAATATTCTTCTGAATGTTCTAGCAAAACCCTATATTCATGAAAAGTGTGTTTTGAGATGTTTTTTCAAAGTAATAATTAAGTAAATACTAACAAAGAAAAAATATGTACTAAACATCAAAGTTTTGTTGCTCTCCTAATGTGACTTAAGAGGTTTTGACTTTTAACCATCAATATATTTTTTGTTTTTATATTTTGGTACACTCTATAATCTTAGATACCTTGGAATTCATTATTTAGTGTATTTAGGCAATGTAATAACAAAAATTCCATATACATATACCATATCCTGTTAAAATTGTATGTATTTTACCATAGGTGAGCGTCCCTTTGCTTGCAGTTCCTGTAGCAAAACTTTTACCCAAGAAAGTGATCTTAAAAGACACAGCCTTATTCACGGTGATAAAAAAGATTTCCAGTGTCAACATTGCGGTAAGATGTTCTTTACTACAAGTTCTCTGGCTTCTCATATGTTCAAACATGAAGCATTGACAAAGAATGTCAAATGTAATACATGTGAGTCCTCTGTTTGTTCATGTATTCCTCCAAAACGATTAAAGAAAGAGAATATACCAAAGAAATCATTTTTGTGTACTATTTGTGGGAAGGTATTTACAGCTAATAGCAGTCTCCAGGTAATATATAAAAAAGCTGTTTTAATAGCTGCCAGTGACATGTTTATCATTTGATTTTAGATTCATCATAGAATCCACACAGGAGAAAATCCTTTTGTGTGTAAACAATGTAATAAAAGCTATAAAGCCAGCACGGCATTAAAAGCTCACGTAAGAAGGGCTCATACTGGAGAAAAACGTTATAAATGTCCAAAATGTCCAAACCGATATTATGATTCCACAAATTTAAAGAGACACATTAATAGAGTACACTCGAATGTGGATATTAAGAATGCAGATGTTGAATTTGAAAATATTTAATAAACTTATTAATAAGTAAATTATAATTATTAAAATATTCATTAATTTGTAAACATTTTTTATTTTTTGAACATATGTGTACAATGTTTTTTTATTCAAGGATTTTTTTTAAACAATTCTGAATTGCAAATCAAAATGTGAAACAAAATTGATTTAATCTCATTATAAAATATTTAAAATAATCATTTTGGTGTTTTCTCTCTTTGTTTTTCAATCATATTTAAGTACCCATTACAGAAGATTTATTAACTATAAAAATAAAATAATAAAAGTTTGGAAGATATGGAAATAACACTAGCTAATTTATAAATTCGGTAAACTCAACCTATTCTGTAAAATAGAACTCTAAATATTCTGTAAAATAGAAGCAAATTAGTAAAAATTACATATGTTGGTAATCAAATTTTGTGTGTATATTAGTTACTTTAATTATTAATAATGAAAAATCCATGAAAACCATATAAATAAAGATGTTGATCTCTCACTTGTCCATAGATTATTAATTGAAAAAACTCCTTTAACTACTATATTAGTTTCAGGATCTAAATTTAACAAGGGTCACTTATGTGCTAAATTTTCAAATTATTAAGAATATTTTCATCTATATATTTATCAATTTCAACATGTAATCACATTGTTTCAATTTATAAGAATTTAAATTAAATCCTTTATTTCTTCAAACAAACAATGAGACAATTGTGTGTTATTCTCTCAATCTACTAACTAGGCAACCAATAATAAGAGACATCTAACATTGCTCGCTTGTTTATGACGAGACCTTAGGAATTTTACGTAAAATTCCCTACTCTACTATAAAGCTCGATTCAGACCAATGATTCAGACACATCAGTCACGTCTCGTCAGATAGTTGATAGTTCTGTGACCAAACAGGACCGGTTCGGCGCCGAGACTGTTACGGGACTGATGTGTCTGAATCGACCTTTATACTTATGTACCCAGTAAACGAGTGTTCAGCAGATTAGTAATCAAGGAGTAAAGTCTCGCTTGAGGTGGTAGTAATTTAATAGCGACATCTAGTTATGCAACCAATTTTACAAGAAAATTCTAAATAAATGGAGTGTTAAATTTTCCCAATGGTTACGAATCAAATTTTTTAGTGAAACATGTCTTTTAATTTTTTACCTCTCATTGAATGTTTATATTCCGTTTGTTATTTTTCATGCTGTTTTTTAATTAAACCTGCTTATAGAGAAGAGGTAGAGTAAGTATATGAAGCTAGAAACTAATTCCTCGCCTCAGCATTTTACCGTAGAGAGAAAAAATTAAAACAACGCCTCGTATACAAGCTTCGCTTTAATAATTATGTTGGTATTTTCTCTCTTTGCCTTTCAAATCGTAGTTAGCGTTAAGTCTATTTATTTCCTAATAAATATTCTGAAGAAAGCAAATGAGTAAAAATTATAATGCCTGTAGTCAAATTTTATGTGTAATTTAGTTACTTTATTACCACAAACGGCCTTTATTTATCAATTCTCCATAAATTATTAAATGCATATTAATCCATACACAAAATTTCCCTGAGTCTACTAACTATGCAACCATTAATAGGAAAAATATACAAGAAGAAAGTTCCCTTGTTTATAAACTAAAATAAAAAAGTAGTTGGTGCTTTTAACTTGAGATGACGGTAGTTTAGTAGCAATATCTAATTATGCAACCAAGAATACAACAAGAAAATTGTAAATAAATGTTTTGTATCATAAAAATGAAAAATTCTCAAATAAATAATGGGAACTCAATTAAGACTTTCTGTAAACAACTTTTCATCAATCTGCAGACTTTGTCTTCAATCCAAAGATTTGTTACCACTGCACACTGTAGAAGTCATGCAGGTTTTTGAAGAAATTACCAAAATACAGGTACTACTTAGTTCCACTAGAACAAGTACTATCTAATCTAATTTATTAAATGTTACAGGTAACTGAAGATGATCTACTACCAAAAAGTGTTTGCAGGACTTGTGTCAGTCGTCTACAAGAAATTAAACAATTTATAGAACTATGTACAACTAATAATAATTTGTTTCTCATGGCTTTAAAACATCCTTATAATAAAAGTGAAATACTTATTGAAATACCTTGCCAAGTAGATAAAATAATAACAGAGGAAGCTGTGGAACATATTAAAGTACAAGTAGAAACTGAGTCAAAGAAATGTGAAGAAGATGCAGAGTTTTTACAGTTAGGCTTTAGTAATAAGACATTTAAAGACAAACAGTTATGTATTTGTCCTTTAGAAGAACAAATTAATAACAAGATGCAAGAGAATGATGTAATGCTAAAGAGTAAAATTAAGAAAACATGTGAAGTATGTGACAAAGGTATAAATTTCATTCAAAAACATTTTTGTTACCAAAAAATTAATTTTTATATATTTGATATTCTAGTATTTTTATCTAAGTTAAGTTTGCTGCATCACAAAAAAATACATAGGAATAGAAAAAAAACAGGAGAAACAGTTCAATGTACAAAATGTGACCTTTTGCTATCAAAAAACTCATTAAACAGACATATGAAAATCCACACTGGAGTTAAGCCATTTAAGTGCTCCTACTGCTCAAAATGTTTCTTATATATGAATAGCCTAACAGTTCATCTAAGGTTGCATACAGGTGAATGTTTTGAATTAGCCATATACTTTTTTTAGTTATGATAGTTTATGTATACTAACCTGATTGATACATTATTATATTATAGATTGACCACTGTTCAAGTATCTTGTTAAAATTATCAAAAATAACTTTTTGCCTTTTTAGGAGAAACACCATATGTTTGCTCAATTTGTAATAAAAGATACCCCAGTGCTAGGAGTTTACAAAAACATAGAAATGTTAAGCATTTTACCCAAGAAGATAATACACTCGACAATGACATTCTAAATAATTCAAACAAAACTCAATGTCCATTTTGTAATAAATATTTTGCTAAATTTGGATTTGGTACACATATAAAAACCCATATTAATGAGAAGAAGAAATTTGAATGCCCTTTGTGCTATAAGGTTTTCCAGAACAATTCACACTTGGAGAGACATCTCAGAATACATACAGGTAGTTAAAACTATTTTAGATTTACAAATTTATTTATAATATCTTCATCATTTAGATAGTTTTGTACATATATCTACTTTTTTGACAATTAAGCTTTACTATAGAGTGATAGAATTGAACGAAGGATCCTGAGAGGAATATTTGGTGGCATCTGTGAAAATGGTGTTTGAAGTATGAGATACAACTACGAGGTATACCACAGATATAAACAAATATTTGGTGGTAAAGACGTAGTATCTCTTATAAGAATAGGAAGACTAAGATGGGCAGGACATCTAGCAAGATCACAGCAGAACAACCCTCCTAGAAGAATCCGTATGTCACAACCCGTGGGAAGTAGAAAAAGGGGTAGGCCAAAACTCAGATGGAAGGATGGTGTAGATGAGGATGGTAGAAAGATAGGCGCCGCAAACGGATAGGACTGCCTGGCGTAATAGACTTGGGAAGGTTGAGGCTCTTTCATAGGGCTGTAGCACCATTGATGATATAGAAACCTTAGAATTTATTATTTAGTATTCAAGTAATGACGCATAAAAAATTCTACATAAATATGGCATATTCCTTTAAAATTGTATGCATTTTCTGTAGGTGAGCGTCCTTTTGCTTGCAACTCCTGTAGGAAAACTTTTACCCAAGAGAGTGATCTTAAAAGACACATCCTCATTCACAATGGTAAAAAGGATTTCCAGTGTCAACATTGCGGTGAGATGTTCTCTACTACTCGCTCCTTGGCAGCACATATGCTTAAACATGAAGCGTTGTTGCAGAATGTCAAATGTAATATCTGTAAGAGCTCTGTTTGTTCATCCCATCATGAAAAACAATTAAAGATTGATAATATTCCAAAGGAATCATTCTTATGTACTATTTGTGGGAAGATGTTTAAAACAAATAGCAATCTTCAGGTGAGCTGTAAGAAAATCTATTTTACTAACATCCTTTATGCCTTATTTTAAAAACATTCCTGTAATTTTTGCTGACTCAATGACAATATTTATCATTTGATTTTAGATTCATCATAGAATTCACACAGGAGAAAATCCCTTTGTGTGTCTTCTATGTAATAAAGGGTATAAAGCCAAAACAGCTCTAAAATTGCATATGAGAAGGATGCATACTGGAGAAAAACTTAAATGTCAGATATGTCCAAAAGAATATTATGATTCCACAAATTTGAAGAGACATAATAAAAGAGTGCATTCTAACCTGGATATTAAGCATGAAAGTGTTGATTGTGAATATATTGATGAAAATATATAGCTATTAAAATAAACATGTCAGTTTTTCTTTCTTTGCCTTCATCTTTTCTATCTGTCAGTGATGTACCAAAATTGCGAGATACCTCCAGCAAAAATCCGGTAGATTTCGGTAGATCATGTAGACACTTTTAAATTTGAAATTATAACAATATTTGGAACAATAAATGTATTAAAGTATAAATAAAAAAAAACAAGTATAATAATACTTAATAAACAAATACATTATTATTGAATTTTCGGGACTTCCTATCTTTTAAAAATTACAGAATTAAGGTCGATTCAGACACATCAGTCTCGGCGCCGAACCGGTCCTGTTTGGTCACAGAACTATCTGACAGCTGGCAAACTGTTCGTCCTGATGAATGCCGGCGCCATATTTCTATTAAAGAATATTTTGTATGACGGATTGTTCGGTTCGGCGCCAGGACTGTGACGAGACGTGACTGATGTATCTGAATCGACCTTTACGAATCTCCGGGGATTTCCCGGGTTGATGTATTAAAATGACAAAATGTATACAAATGCATTAAAAATGCTGAAAATTTTTTTATGAAACAAAAGATAAATTGTGTTACCGAATTTATTTTTAAATAAAATATAAGTGCATTTTAATCATTTTTCTCAAACCAGTAGATCCAAAGAGCATTTCGGTACATATCAAATTCGGTAGATCTACTGAAAGATCGGTACCGGTAGACGGAATAAAGCTGACTGACATCAGTGTACAATTTTGAGTGTCATAGGAATTTTTATTTGATAGTTATAATATATTACAGCTGGCGGACTATCTATAGAAGGTGAGTGGTTGCTTTTGAGGTAAATGTTGCTCTTTCTTTCACTATGATTGAGCTCTACATTTGTCGAGTTAATAATAGGTACTTAATTAATATGTTTATTTTAAAAATCCCCTTGTAAATCAGCGTATTGAATCTCCGGCTAAGGGCTGGTGAATGCACTTAATTTTAATGACTTTCGTCTGAGAATGTAGGGTATCGAATATCATATAGTATAAGAGTATATTCAATTTGTTTAGAGTTAGATTTAGTCGAATTTATACCACCGACCGAAGGAAACTGAATTAAACTTTTAAAGTCACATTTGTGTATTTTAATACGGACGTAATTTTTGTTATAGAAATTTAATTTTGAATTTTTTCGAACCAGGAGTCTCTTGCGATAATTAATCGTAGGACATTCCAAACGTAACAACATTCAACAAAACTTAGATATATTGAAGAACTAAAGTAGATAGTTCATAATATGTTCACAACAAATTTTCTACAATAAACCTAACTGGATGAATGATAATGGTATTAACAAGTCAAAATGTGTATCTTTCTTCTCAGACCCATCTTTCAGTGCTCCATTTCTATATTATACTTTTACTAGAAATATGCCCAAGTTGTCATTCACATAGACCTTCACATTTTGCTATAAGTATTCGTAAATAAATTAGTGATAATCTTTAATAAATGATTTGCCCGTTTGGTCGGATAGTTAGCCACAACCTGTGTAAGAAAACAAAACATTTTCAATTTTCATAACCTTCATAAACAAACAAATAAAATGGAAGAAATTACTTTACATTATAAAGATTTCCCACATATATGTCGAATTTGTTTAATGAAACAAAACTTGCAAGCATTTCCTCAAAACTTGTATGACTTTTATGTTAACTTAGTAACAAGTGAGGTAAGTTTCTATTGGACCAGGAATACATTTATACAGAAGTTTGCTTATTTTAGACAGTAAAAAGTGAAGATTTTCCTCAAAATATATGTCTTGAATGCAGTTTCAAGTTGGAGGAAATGTATTCATTCATCGAAAAATCTAAAAGCCGAGAGATGATGCTGCATAAAATATTTGAAGAGAGACTTGTAAAAAGCACCAGTTCAGATCATGATCTATCAGATAATGATACAGTAGAAGAATCTAACATAAAAAATGAACCTTTAAAAAGGAAGGATTTGTTACAGAAGCGGTATAAAAGTAAATTTAAAATGAAAGAACACAATCCCTATGAATGTAAGATGTGTAATAAAGTATATCACAGCAAATCTTCCTTTGCTAATCACTGTCGAATGCACAAAAGCAAAAGAGAACCCAAAACGTTTTTGTGCAATTACTGTGGTAAACATTTTATGAAGAGTTCACATTTAGAGAGACATATAAGAAGCCATACTGGAATTAAGCCATTCAAGTGTGAGAAATGTCAAAAGTGTTTCGGCCAAGGCAATGATTTAAAAAGACATCTTTTAACACATACACGGGAAAAAATCTTTCAAGTGAGTATTTTTCTAAAATAAATTGTTTTGTGCTTATGTTAATTTTATTTCTTAAATAAGCTAATTCCATCATCTAACTTTGTGTTGCAGTGGATTTAATAAAAACGCAGTGTCTTCAATTTCAGCTTAATCTTTTTATGTTTTAGTGTACACATTGCAATAAAGGTTTTCATCAGAAATCTTGTTTGGCTAATCACATTATGACTCACAGCAACGAAAGAAATTATTCTTGTAATTTTTGTGATAAAAGATTTACATTAAAGAATTATCTTAATGTTCACATGAGGATACACACAGGACAAAAATTGTTTCAGGTAGGCATTATGTTAGAGGAAATATATTTTTTATATTAAAAGTGAATTTAATAGAAACTAATGTATTCAAATTAATGATTTCATCTCAAAATTTCTTAAATATTGAAACAATTTCATCCTTTATTTACCTTATTTAAATTTTTGGCCTCTGTCAAAACTTTCAATTGAATTAAACACTGAATATGCTGGAGAAGGTTAAAAAATTCCATGCTGAAGTACCTTTTAAAAACATTTAATATACTAGTTTTTTCTTTAGTGCTATTTTACTTTTTAGTGTCCACATTGTGATAAACAGTTCCCTCAAAAAGGAGGACTGAACAACCACATTCTGACGCATACTGGCGAAAAACCTTTCAAATGTAGTCAATGTGAGAAAACTTTTGTACAATCGAATCATCTGAAAGAGCATGAGAGAATCCACAGTGGTGAAAAGCCATACATTTGCTCATTTTGTGGTAAAACTTTCGCTTATAGTAGCACTTTAAAAGTTCATCTCAGGCAGCATACAGGTGAAACACCACACATTTGCTCATACTGTGGGAAAGGGTACCGAGATGCTAGTAATTTAAGGAGGCATATTACCAGACATCATGCTAGCAATAACAAAGTTGTAAAAAAGGACATTAAGATTATTAAAGCAAAAAATAATATCGTCAGTCAATATTAATAAATTAGAGATTGTGCATTTTAATTTATTAAAATAGTAGGTGTATGTTATGTTTTATAAATAAAATAAAAGCGATTTATTTAATATCCGTTGGAAAGTGCAGTAGACACGTCTATTCTGGCCTTGCTGTAATAAGTTTTCCAGCTCATAGTTAAATGACAATAAACGTCATAACATTGTAAAAAAAGAGGCCAGCACAAGTTCATTCTGTCAAATATTATACGCAAGTGTGGACATTTTGAGGCGTATTTTCTTTATTAGTGAGTGAGGTATTCGCCTATTCTTAAAAAATCGACTCACTGTGAAACGTTTGGCGCAGATTAAAAATTTCAAAATTTAAATCCGTGTTTTCATAAAAGTTATGCCCAGACCAAGGAATGTGTACCAAGAAGGGACAAAACTCAAGTCAATGTGCAGAGTTTGTTTGACTCAAAGTAAAAATGTAATGTATAAATTAACCGATTATATGGAAAGCTCAAACATTCCTGACGTAGAGACTTATTTAGATGCATTGCAGAAAACGACTTTTTCTGAAGTAAGTATATTGGAGTAGAACTATTGGATTGTAGTAGTATGTCAATAGTTTTAAAATATTTAAATCTAATTTTAAGGTTAAAATTGAAGATAATTATCCTGAAAGCATTTGTCCAGTCTGTGTTAGTATGTTAAAAATGTGCCATCAATTTATAACACAATTCGAAGAATCGCAAAGAAAACTGGAACTAATGTTTAAGAAATCTAGTGTTGCTTATTTTGACTCTGAAAAACTTCAGGAGGACAAAGTAGTTGAAGCTATAAGTTTAGCTAGAAAACAAGCAAACTATAAAGAGTCAAATGTTCAAATTATTATTAAAAATGAAAAATATAGTCTCAATGATTTAATTGTTGTGGAAGATCCAGAGTCTGAGGAACATAATTACGAAGGGTTCATGAGTAAACTGGGTAAGGAACTTTCAGCTTCTGTTATAAATCCGTCAGATGAAGAGGCATTTAATTCAGACAAAGTTGAAAATATTAAAATTGAAGTAGAAGATGTTGATTACGAAATTGAACATTTAGAAAATGAATTCAATACAGTCAAAGAAAGAAGTGATAGTCACACTGAAACCATAAGTAGCAATGATGAATCACTCGACACTTCTGAACTACAAAAAGGGAATAATGCCTGTGAAATAATTTTTGAAACTGATAAAGAAACCAATGATTCTCAGGGTCAAATAGGTGATATTAATGGGATAATAGAAAATGGTAGAGTTGAATTCATCATAGAAGATTTTATTAACATTGATGGTGATACTGAAGAATGTGATAATGTTGAAGAAAACACTGAGGGATCTGTAGAGACAAATAGTGATGCAACTAGTGAAGCACAAGAGGATGAAGGTAAATTCTTTTTCACAGTTATTTACTAACATTTTTACTTTTTCTTATTTATAAAACTTACAATAAGTTCATCCTAAGACTAGATGGTTATCTGAAATTAAGTATTAACAAAACAAATGTAAAAGCATAACTGAACGATAAACATTTACTTAATACAGTAAAACCTCCCTTAACTGAAACATTGTTTAACCGAAATGGCTGACAGTTTCAATACTTTCTTCAATAAAAGCAAATTTTTATCGTAAAACATAAACAATTTCATTAATTTCACTTACCGAATGATACCTATGTGTGTTGGGAAATCAAAAAACCAAGAGCTCTAAAAGATATTTGAGAAAAAGCACTACCAGGTTTTTATAGAAGCCAAAAAAGCTCATGGATGTCGACCACTTTATTTTCAGAATGGTTCGAAAATTAATTCGTCCCAAGTATAAAATCCTTTTTAAAATCAAAAACCTTCCCATCAAAGCATTGTTGCTTGTTGACAATGAGTCAACTCACCCTCAAAATCTACACAATAGTGATAATTGTCAGATTTTTGCCACTGAATGTCTCGGGCTTAATTCAGCTGTTAGACCAGGGAGTAATAGAGACATTCAAGAGACATTATAGAGGAGAATTCTTAAGACATCTTATTACAGGAGACGAATGAATCCAAAAGTGTTCCCAAAATTCTCAAACTCTCAAACCCAATCCTTTTTTTCATTTAAAACTTGAAATTTATTTAATCTTAATTATTATGATAAAGATTTTATTGTAGGAAATGAAGAGAGTGATTCAGAAAATTTTGCTTTAGAACATATAGATATACTTGATAAAGACACAATTGAATCACTTATTATAGATCGAGGGGAAAATGAAGATAATCTCGAAGAAACTTCACAACCAAGGAGAAGAGGAAGGAAGAGAAGAATCCCAGACACACCTAGAGATGAATTCGAACAGGAAATTAATTTTCCGTGTGGCATTTGTAAAAAGATTTTTTCCAGCCAGCGTGCATTAAAAAATCACATAAAAAGGACCCACATCGGTGCAAATGATCAGGCTTTTACTTGTGAGATATGTGGGCATATTTCTGGAACTAAGTCAAGTATGATTTTTACAAACTTATTATTTTTCTTTATTTTTTGTTGATCAAATTATTATAGTTGTCAGTTATTAGCAAAACATTTTTTGTTAATTTCCATTTTTTTCTAGAATTTGTCACGCACAAGTTGCGCCACAGTGAAAAGCAATTTAAGTGCAAATTGTGCGATAAAGCATACTCTACAAAAGCACATCTGAAGGTTCACATGAGTATACATGAAAACAATAGACCTTTTCTCTGTAATGTCTGTGGTAAAGATTTCAATTATGCAAATGCGCTAACATATCATATGCGACTGCACACAGGAGAGAAGAATTACCATTGTGAATATTGCCCTAAAAGATTTAGAATGATTAATTCCCTAAACAGGCATGTTAGGACACATACCGGAGAGAAACCATATAGATGTCAATTTTGCGGAAGACAGTTTTCTTCAAAAGGAGAGGTAAATAATCCTTTTTTATTATATGATTACAATTCTGTTGCTAAAACTTAGTCTTTGTAATCACTTATATGTTTCAATTTGTTTTAGGTTGTTTGTCACGAATATACTCACACAGGTTATCGCCCCTATCACTGCATATACTGCAAAAAGGGGTTCTCAAAAACACACAATTTAAAAATACACTTACTGTCCCACAGAGGGCCTCATCAATGTAATTTTTGTAATAGGTGTTTCATAGAACCTAACATTTTGAATATGCACCTAAAAATAGCACATAAAGATCAACTAACTGACGGGAATCAAGACTATGAAAATAGCGAGAGCAATGAAGGCAGTCAAGATGAGGCATTTCCCGAATATTTTGAGTTTGTTCAAACTGAAGGGGATGAAGACTTTTCAGGGTCCATTCTAGGCGACTGATTAATATAAGTTCTAATAAAATTAATTTACTTAATAAAAATATTTTTTGTTATGCAAATTATTTATTATGCATTTTAATAATCGATTGATAAATATATAGAATTTTTACTTTATGATTTGAATAAATCTTATTTTTGGAATTGGAAGAAATGGTGAATTTACCAAAAAAATTTCATCTGCACTAAGAGCAATTTCTCACATTTCCTTCATTCACAATTTTGAATCATGTTGATAAGCTAAGATTTATCAATTATCCATTAATTAATGTTCCAGTTCATTTGGACATAGGTATTTACATACATCTGCCAATTTTCTTTTTGGTTACATTTATTTTTATTAAAAGTGTAAAACAAGTATTTAATGAAACATTTTGAGGTTATACTCATATAGGCAAAACCATGGTACAATGGTATTCATTGTACCATAAGGCAAAATTAATTAAGATTTTAATTTACAATAATAATTTAAAATAATAATAAAATGGGGCACAATGAAAGTGACTGTGGAGGGCAAGTTTAGATTTTTTATTATCTAAGCAGGGAGCGAGGGCTTTTAATTTATATTTATTCTGTTTATATCTGTTTCTTCAGTCAGTTTTATTTTTTCACACCTATGTGATCTTCCAATCGAGCAAAAAAACAAAAGAGGGAATCTAATCATTATGAAAAGGAGACCAAAATTCATTAAAGTTTGCTCTTAATATGAAGGACATATCCGGGAATGCAGAGGCGCCAAATTTAAAGTAGCTATAAAATATTTTTCAGAATGAGTCTTAGACGAGAAAGTTTGTTAAAAAACTTCAATATAAATAAGCTTTCATATGACAGTTGGGATAAATAATAACATAACCCAACTAAATTTGATTTCTTAAACAAGGAAAGTGACTCTCTTTCCTTGTTTAATGTGGCCTCTCAAAATAGCACTTCCCATTGAACAATATTTTTGTCCCCACTACCTTTACATTTCCTCTTCAGTCATATTGCTTGATGGATTTTCGACTGGTGTCTATATGTGGTGCAACCAAAGCCAAAATGATTGCTGTTTTTTTTTAATACTGTGGGGCTTGATAAAATGAGATCCCAATTTAGTCATTCTTTATCTGCAAAAATTAAAATGTAAAACTCACAGCCAATACGTGATAATTTGAGCATTTAATAAACACAAACATTTTATTTATTTATGACCAAAAAAAGGAACAATATTAAACAAGTTAAAAGGTAAAAATATTTATTTAAAATTAGTGACATATATACAAAAGAATAAAGAAATAATAAATAAAACTTTCATGATAAATATACATTCTGGAAATTATATATTTCTAACGTAAGTACATGCAATGTCATTGAAATGAATTCTAAAATTTGTAAATCACAAATGAATTATCTACACCCCAAGTTTTATTATTTCATAATAAAAATAAAAGATGTGATTTCATACAACTTTTCATAGTGTACTGTTAAAAATAATGTTATGGAGTCTTTAAACACCACAAAGCAAGGAAAATTAGAGTTAAAGTCGGTGGCAGTAAATTCCAAATAAAATATTTTATCATTCTTAGTTGAAGTGTTGGTGATGTAAAATATTGATAACACTGAACAAAGAGAATAGAGCTGTGATGATTGCAAACACTACAAAAACAATCTAGAAGAAACCAATATTTTAAAACATTTGCTATCTTAGTATCTTGTGTCTTCAGCAGTACATGAGAGGTAATATGAAAAGTAATATGAGCCATATAGATTTGAATATCATTGCTTTTATATGAGCCAATAAAAGACCAATCGTACATATTGTAGATTTTACTATGCCCTAATAAAAACATAGTGCCAATTACATGTGTCAATGTGTGGTATGCAAACTCAAAGAGTTCTCTAGACTGCTAGTTTCTTTACTCAATCCAGAAGTGGTTAAAAAGTTCTGCATATCTCCTCCCAGCATATTTACCGGAAAGTCACTAGCTACATTCACATATTTAAAATTATTGTCACTAGAACTCATATTTACACCTACAGATACTAAATTCGCACTACTGCTATTGCTGGTTTTCCCTCCGGTGTGGACCAGAACATGGTTGGTAAGAGACTGTTTCCTGTTGAATTGTTTGCCACAGTGTTGGCATTGAAATGGTTTTTCTCCGCTGTGGATTAAGAGATGGTCTCTGAGAGTTGTGCTGCGAACAAACTGCTTGCCACACAAATTGCATTCGTAGGGTTTGACTCCTGGAAATACATATTTATTATAAAAAGATATTTGTATAAAATAAAATAAAATTAATAAAAAATTGAGAAAAAATGTAAAAAATTATAAAAATCAAAAAAATTATTATCAAAAACTGTTTTCAAAATTGCTTAAAAAGTATTTTGCGAAGTTCATAGATAGGTTCCTCATATTTAGGTTTGGTTTACTTGTTTTATTAGTTGCTTATATTACTCTTTTGCTTTATGATTAATTCGTTTTTGATATCTTTTAATTCCTCTTTCATTTTGGTCATCAATTTCATCAGTCTTCTTCTTTTGTCCCCTTCCTCTGTTGAGGCTTCTTTATTCATTTGTAATTTGGTGTTACACTTTTTTGGAATTATTTTTCTCAATACTCACTCATATTTTAGATTAATAACTGAATGAACTTTATCACTTCTTTAGCTTCCCCAGCACAGATTTAAAGTCAAACATTAAATGTATATGAGAATTCTTTTATTTCTCCTTCAAAACTCCTTCTCTCACTGTAATGATCTAAGAAAGTAAACTCTAATGGTAGAAAAAAAAACCTGTAGGATAATATACTTTCCATAATCTTAATAATTTTATTAAAAAAGGGTGGCTAAGAAAATAAACTGTTTACCTGTGTGCATTAATTTGTGCCTCTCCAGATGATAACTAGACAGAAATGCTTTTCCACAGAAGGTACATGTGTGTGGCTTTTCACCTGCATGCCTTCTCATGTGATAACTTAAATGACTGGATTGTGTAAATGATTTTTGACAGACTGTACACTTGTGTGCTTTGATTCCAGTGTGAGTTAAAAGATGTGTCTTTAATGTATCCTTTGTTATATAACATTTGCCACATTCTTTGCATTCAAATGGTTTTATTCCTAAAATATATCAAATTTATGATTGTTATATTATAAAAATAATTAACAATGTACCTGAATGGCTTAAAATATGCCTTTCTAACCCATTTTTTCTAGTGTAATTCTTTCCGCAGTAGTTACATAAAAATCTACGCTTTCCCTTCAGTACTCTTCCCTTAACATACTCCACCTCTCCATCACTTTCTTCTTTTAATTTCTTTTTACCCCTTCTTGTTTTCGGTTTTTTTAAATATTCAACTATATTGCAAACTTCATTTTTGTTTGAATCCTTTGGACTACATTTAGGAAAGTCTTCGTAATGTCCATTTAAAGCTGCCATAGAATTGAAGTTCTCACTGCAGTTTTCACACACCAAAGAAACTTCTTTATTTATCTATAAAAAAACATGTTAGTAGATGATATAATAACTAGAAAAATATTACTAAGTACCTCTAAAAGTATATCTGGTTCTAATTCAACAATTTCTTCTTTAACATCTTTCAAGAAGAAATCGTCTTCATCTTTCACATCATCATTATCACAACCATCACTCATTACATCCTCTTGTTCTACATTGGACTTTTCTTCTAACTCTTTTGAAACCACTAATTTTAAGGCTTCTTCATTTATTTTACACTTCGCTATAAAGTTATATATATCCTCCAATTGTTTAACACATTTTAGGCACACATTATCTGGCATTTTGTCCTCCTCTTTTACCTACAAAAAAATCATGATTTTTCTGTTTTTTATTCAAATGTAAACATTGAATATTATGATACCTTAATGTCCATAAGTAACTTAAACAATTCTAATTGTTTTAATTCCTGTATTGGTTTTAAGTCTCCATGGGCTAAACATAATCGGCAAATTTTTGGAAAATCTTTGAAAAACACTTTAATACTCATTTTTAAAATTGTTACAAATTAAGGTAAACAATTTCAACATGGAGGTTAATTACACCTGTCACGTTGGCAGTTGTTTTGGGAGTAGCTACAAGTCCGAAAGGTAGAAAGTTTATTAAATGCTAAATTCGAATGCGTGGTTTGTAGATAATGAATGAAATATTTTTCATTCATTATGAAAATTCATCATTATGAAAAAATATTTTAAAACAAATAGCACCTTACGAATTAAAGCATGCGCTAGTTTTCTAAATATTATTTATTAAAAACTTTATTCAACTTGCAAAAGGGAACTTTATCAGCTATAAGGTCATATATTTGACAGCCTGATGGCGGGATAGCAATGTCTCATACTGTGAAAAATGTGAGCCATGGATTAATATATTTTTTTAACAACTAAGAATATATAAACAAAACATTATGTGGCTGATAAACTTGTTTTTGTGCTATATTTTTCACACATACGCGCCCACACACTAACAATATGGATTTAAATTAAAGAATCAGAAAATAATATTCTTATAATGTAACTGTAGTGTATTTTTAACTACAAGATATACATTGTCATATTTTATATTTTTAATTACAAACGTAGGGATGGTTTCGTAAGAACTCCTTTAAATTTTTTAAAAGAATTTTAGCCATTTTTAGGCAATACTTTATACACCAAAGTAGATGTTGACAGAAGTGACACATTTGTTATGAGTCATAATGTTGACAGGTTGCACCAAAACAATTTAGATAATTATTGTCATTTGCGAAATTTGTTAAAATTATTTTATAAAAATGGACGTATTTAACAAAGTAATTAACCAAGTTAGTAGTTCTGTTCATAGTACGGTATCCCAGTTATCAGGAGTTTTACCAGGTAATCCAGTAACCAGAGAATTTGAGTCTTCTGCACACATTGCCTCTGCAGGTCCAGGTAAATAAAACCTTATCAAATATTTCTAGAATAAGAATGTATGATTCTGTTTAAGGGTTGCTTTGGAAAATTTATAAAGGAAGTAAACGATCTACTAGACAAGAAGCTTCAATATTTGTATTTGAAAAGCGTCAGCTAGATAGATACAGTAAAACAGATAGGGAGTTAATTTTAGAGGTGCTGAGAAGAGGAGTAGTACAGTTAACAAAGATACGCCATCCGAAAATTCTGACAGTTCAACACCCTTTAGAAGAAAGTAGAGACAGTTTGGCATTTGCTGCTGAACCAGTATTTGCTAGTCTAGCAAATGTCCTGGGACAAACAACCAACATGCCTCAACCAGCAAATATGTCAGACTATAAATTATTTGATATAGAAATTAAGTATGGAGTACTACAATTAACTGAAGGTTTAGCCTTTCTACACAATGATGTTAAACTTCTTCATAAGAATATCAGTCCAGAAAGTGTAATAATTAATACACAAGGGGCGTGGAAGGTTTTTGGCTTTGATTTTTGTGTGATTAATACTAATCCTGCAAATATGCCTCCTAGTTATGTATTTGAAGAATACAGTGCTACTGTACCACCAGTTTGTCAACCAAACTTGGACTACCTAGCTCCAGAACATGTATTGTCTTTGGTACAATCCCAAGCTAGTGATATGTTTTCTCTAGGAATGTTGATCTATACATTATACTCCCCAGATAGGAAATGTTTTAAACCAGTTAGGGATCTTCAGCAATTCAGAGCAAGAGCCCAAGAGTTGAAGAAATTTACTACAGGAAAGATCCAATTTGTTCCAGAAGAACTGAGGGAGTTTATCAAATTGCTGCTAAATGTTACTTCAGAAGTTAGACCAGATGCTCATCAGTTTGTTAAGGTAAAATAGCAAATTATGGTTGTGGTTATATAAAATGGGTTAAAAATTGTTGAAATGAAATAAAAAATGTATATAGTTGGCATTAATGAGGAGATTAAGATTATATAACTATTTAAAATTGTATAAATAAGTAATAATTTACAATTAAATTAAATAAATGTGTTGATAGTGAACAATTGTAAAGAAAACAGTTGAAATTTCATCAGTTTATTACCATAAATTTTATTACTTCCAAAAAAAGGTTAAAATGTGTATATAACCAGTTAGATCTCAAAAGTGTAACCAGTTAGATCTCAAAAGTGTTTGTAATGAATATGTTTATTTGGTCTTCTTTTAGACATGATGCATGTCTAATATTGTTGATCCCAATAAATTTGTTTGTTCTTTTAGAAAACAAAAACTGTTTATTACAGTTAATTTTATGGTAAAAGAAACATTAATTATAAAATAATTTTTAACAAATAGTAGAAATTTTAAACACAGCTTTAACTTATTTTTAGCCATTTAGCATTTAAAAACATCTTCGCTAATTTATGTAATTGCTTTGTTTTTGAAAATTTTTAATATCTAATATAATTTGTATTTTTGTACTATTATAGATCCCATTTTTTCATGACATTGGCATAAAAACTCTCACATATCTAGATTCTGTTCTACAATGGGACAATCTTCAAAAATCACAGTTTTATAAAGGACTGCCAGAGGCTTTGACCAAACTACCTCACCGAGTGAAGCTTCAAAGGGTGGTAGCTTGTCTAGCCCATGATCTAGGTCAATCTGCAATGGTGCCTTTTATTTTACCCAGTTTACTAGAAATTGCGCAAGGCTGCACACAAAAGGAATATTGTAGTTATATTTTGCCACTGATTAAGCCTCTTATGACTCTTTTGGAGCCTGTTCAGGTTAGTTTATTTATAACCCTAAATATATAACATTCATTTATTTATTTATTGTAAAAATACTACCAGAAATTTAACTCTTGTTACAGGTATTATTAATAATGCTACAAAATATGGAACTACTGTTAAAACTTACTCCTGCTGAGGATATCCAGCGCCATGTACTACCAATGCTGTACAGAGGTCTTGACTCTGATACGCCCCAAATTCATGAACTTTGTCTATCAGTTCTACCAACATTTGCTGGTCTTTTAGACCATTCAAATGTCAAGAACAGTCTCTTACCTCGCATCAAGAAACTTTGCCTTAACACTTCTACACTCTCTGTTAGAGTGAATTGTTTACTTTGTGTTGGTAGGTTATTGGAGCATCTTGATAAATGGTTAGTGCTTGATGAAGTATTACCTTTTTTACCACAGATACCCTCAAGGGAACCAGCTGTCTTAATGGGTATTTTGGGTATTTATAAGCTTGCCTTAAATCACAAAAAGTTAGGCATTACAAAAGAAATAATAGCTTCTAGGGTACTACCATTCCTGATCCCTCTATGTATAGAAAATGGACTAACAATCCCCCAGTTCAATGCTTTGACTGCTCTGGTCAAAGATATGTTCCAGATAGTAGAAACTGAACACAGAACGAAATTAGAACAGCTTAATTCAGTCAAAGATGAGCAGAAAACACTGGCTAGCACTACACCAATTGTAATGCCAAAGTCCAAGCCCATAGAATTAGATTCTGCATTCTCTGGATTGGGTCTAGATAACTATGTGCCTGGTATGAGTCTGAAGCAAAAGCAACAGTTGGCCCAACAACAAGATTCTTTAAAAGTGTTTAGCAGTCAACCTAGTATAGAACCTAAAAAGGTTGATAATACTCCTAAGAGTGTCACTAAAGATTTATCTTCGTCTTTGCTTGATGATTGGGTCAGTAGCACTCCAACAAGTTCTAAAAAGCAATCTTTTAATACTTCTAATACACATAATCTGAGCCCAACTGACCAAACTTCGAAAAACAGTCCCTCTAATACATCTACATTTATTGGAAACACTGGAAATAGTCAAACTGGGCTTATGTCTCCAAATTCTAACACCCAATGGCAAATGGGCAAACCAAACAACTCCACAACACCAAATTATTCTCCTTTTACTACGCAAAATCAAAATTTCATGAACAACAATCTAAATACAGCCGGTTCCAATCCATGGTCAAGTTCTCATAAAGCTATAAGTTACAATAGACCTGACAATTCTCAAAATTGGAGTGCTTTCGATAATCTCCTCCCAGGTACCAACACTAATATTAACACAGGTAAAGTACCTATGAATAAAATGATGTCTCATAATGTACCCTTGCTGCCAAGTTCAAATACAAATAGTGGAGCAAAGTCAGCTGGTTTGTCTAATGATGATATTATGGATCTTTTAAGTTAAAATAAATGTTTTTTGGTGGTATATAATGTATAGATAATTTTCTTTTAGGCCCCTTGCACATTTTCAATGACATTTCTGTCGTCTGAGTATAATCAACTGCTTATATACACATTTGGAATTTTATTTACTGAACATAGGATTTTTAATTCAATTACTAAGATTCCCTGATATGCAATTAACCAGTGTAAAATTCTATAATAATGTTGCAATGTTTTATAACTAATTTATTTGTTCCACTCGATTGCCTCTCCTCTGTGGTTTGTAGTAGCGTTTGTGGCACGTCGACAGTGTTGCCCCGTCTACCGATTTTTCCTGAAAGTTCGGTTTTGTGGAGATAATAAATAATGTTTTATTAACATCAATTTTGTTTGTGTTCATTAGGTATTATTTGAATTATCAAATATATACTTAAATAACTACTTAACTTATTATACTATATATTATTATTATATATTATTAAACTTATACTTAATTTATTATTCTAAATATTGTTTATAATTTCAAATTAAAGAGTGTATTATTATTTTTTTCAAGCCGTTTTGGCAATAAAACATAACTTTTTTTTAGTTGAATAATATTTTTAATGCCATATCTACATTTATAAATACGTACGTTTTCGGCGAATTGACATGGACTCTAGCTGTGTTCCCTTTTTACACTTACAGTGGCAGCATCGCGGCATGAATTCAGACTCCAGTCAAACAAATGAATTAATTATAAAACATCGCGACGTTGTATTGAAATTTACATTGGTTAATTGCAAATCAGAGGATCTGAGTTATTGTATTAGAAATCCTATGTTCCGTAAAAATTTTTCCAAATCTGTATATTCATGACATTCATTTTGGAATTTTTTTTACTTATATAATATAGTATTTACAGATATTTTAATTAAGAATTAAAAAAAACAATCACTTAAGTACATTAAGTATCATTAAAAAAATAGTATGCCAATTAAGCTTTAATTTCTGGAGTGCATGGACTGCAAATAACTTAGTATTCCAAAATTTTGAAATTGCGTAATCTATTTTCTATTATGGAACTTTTGTGTAATATAGATAAACCCAAAATACCTACTGGGAATGAGAAATCATTTATTATATTAATTAATTACGGAATCACCACTTAAACACTCTGTTATTAACATAGATTCAATTTTATAAATTCATAGAGTCTTAATAAGATTTAAAATATTTTCGTAAATTTTAAACATAATTATGAATTGGTTAATACATTTAGGCTAGGTTGATTAATTTATTAACATCATAAGAATATTATTAATATCCAGATATATCAATCCTAGGTGGTATCTTCAATTTGTCATACATTTTTAATATGTTGTCAGTAGCAGTTATGTCAAAATTGTGTGATGTGACGATGGTGATGTGCAATGGGTTTGCGAAAATGACATAATGTCTATGAAACGATGTAATATACTAAGATGGAACATGTTGATATTTTTACATGTATCTGATCAACGACGGAACTGACCTCACATTATTAGTTACAATGTCTGACGTGAATTTGACAGATGATTAATGTAAATATAGTTATCCCCGATATTTTCATGTTAAACAGGCAACATTATGTGTTAAGTCAATAATTTAATGTTTTCTTTTTGGTAAATCAATAAATTCGTTAAATTTTGCATCCAGTTACATCAGTGGCGTGCAATACTTACCTATAAAATATATGTTTTTATGTTATAAAAATATTAATTTTTGAATTTTACAGTGTTAGTCGTCATTATATCTTTTATTTAAATGTAAATAAAAACGAAAATAAATAATTATTGTATGTATATATACATATGTATCAAAAGAATTTTTTTCATACACCACTGACATTCCGGAAATAAGAGTCAGCCATTGTTATCAACTACTTTGGACGTAAATATTTATTCATAGTTTCCATCCTTAGTATATTACATCGTTTGAAATTATTTATGTAATTTGTATGTACATGGCGCACTAAATCTCCAGGCCGGAACCGTTAGATGGGGGTAGCTTATACAATTTAATAGAGTGCATTTAGCAGGAACGATGTAATTTTTAAGAATTGTATTGGTTTAAATTATTGACAATGACATAATTTTTTGTTTTGAGGCACTCTATAGATAAAGGTAATCATCAAAAAATAGACAGCTGAGGAAAATATGGAAAGATGCAGTTAGAATGAATATAATATTTTCTCCAAAATTATTCTAGAATTAAAAAGCTTAGCCATTTAGAACACCCTATATTAGTGTTCTGGCCTGGATATAAAGAAAACCGTGCTCGTGTATAAAAATTAAGTGATACAATACCACAGAATAATAAACAATCAGAAGGGCCACTCTCAGATGCCGCCTTTGAAGTTTTTCAGCACGCGCGCCATGTTTTAGGAGGACACAAACATATGATTTGTGAGGTTATGCAATTGTTTACATTTATGTTTAATTATATTATATTTATGTTATTATATTTAAAACTGTTAATATAATTGTATAGTATGTCTATGATTGCCGTAAGTCAAATAAACCTGGTTTTTTTTCCATGCACACCACATAAACAACACTGGTTCCCTTTAAAATCCTCGTAAAACATGGCGGAACGTCTGCGCGAAGGAGATGCGCGGACTTAATTTTCCGTGGAGAGTGGGCATTCTGTTTGTTTGTTATTCTGTGACAATACTAATATAGCACGAAAAGAAAAAGAGTTAAAAATTTGTTGTTATCAGTACAAATGTACAAAAACGACAAGAAAAGTATATTTTCTTACAGAAAGCTTCTTCACTTGTCGCATTTGGAGAAATAAATATTGAAAATTATGCCAGTGACGGTTATTTATTATAAACAATAAATATCAACCAATTAGGTCCGTTACCAAACAAATTTTTAACTGAAATAACTCCCCTAACAATTCAGAATCGTAGGAGTATAATATAGTTTGTCATTTTAAATTAAAAATGAGTGTTTTTTCGAATAGGGTACTTAGTGTAAAATTTTTTATTGATCATGGAAGTGTTCGAAAATTTTCTAGTCTTTTGCTAAAACATTTGAGTAAATGAGAAAAATTGAGTATTCCATTCCTTCATTTTGTTATATTTTGGTTATAACAGTACGGGGATGCTGAAAAAGATGAAGAAGTAAAAAACAATTATCAATTTAAGTAGGTTTGGTAATTAAATAACCGGGCCCATGAAGATACAGGTAAGCAGCGAGCACACCGCGGCTGATTTGCACACATCTGTGCCTGCCGATGCTTCCTCAACCATGAAATCGATGTAGAATTCGCTGTTCACGGAATCGCAGGAATTACCAAATAAAGCATCCGTTAGACAAGCAAAAAATGATATCAAAATTTCTTAATCCAAAGCAAAAGAATTAATAATGATTGGACCATCCACCGTATTCATCGGACCTGGCTCCATGTGATTTTTTTTATTTATATACAATAGTGGATTTAAACAGCTAACGTCGCATTCCCACCTACTCGCCATCTTTGCCTGTCTTGAGCGTCTTCTTTCTTCCAAATTCCTGCGTTCGAATGCCTTTCTGATATTTCCACTCCAGGACAATTTTGATCTTCTCATTTTACGTTTTACTTGCGGATTCTATTTATCTACTTTACTGGGCTATCTACTTTCTTCCATTCGAAGAAGTTAGTCCATCTCTACATGTAACTTTCTCTTTGCTTCAGCATTGAAAGTCCACATCTTACTTCTATGCGTTACTACAGAGTCTACAAAGGCTCTTCCAATCCTAATCTTTGTTTTCTGTTGGTCTCTTATATGTCGGTCTCACCGTACTGAACCACCTATTTCAGAGTTTGCTAGAGTCAGATGACTTTGATCAGCTGGTCATATAGTGAGGATGGATGATGACAAACTGCCAAGAAATTCAAGGTAGTAAAATTCAGGGCGGCAGATCAAAAACTTAGGACTTATTGAAAATGATACATTACCAACTAATGAAAATCTAAAAATTCTGATATCAGAGAATCACAGAGCATCATTAATAACATAAGATTTGCAGACGATACCGCAATCATGGTAGAGAATATAGACGATTTACAAACTCTCCTGGAAATCATTAACAGAGAAAGCAAAAAGATGGGACTAACAATGAATATAAATAAAACCAAATACATGGTGATCTCAAAAAACCCTGTTGGCAACATACAACTGACATTGGAGGGTAAACCCCTAGAGAGAGTCGACAAATATAAATACCTTGGGGCAATTATAAACTCACAGTTAGATCAAGAGCAGGAGATAAAGATCAGAATAGAAATAGCTCGAAAAGGCTTTATAAAATACAAGTCAATGTTTACAAATAAGAAATTGAGTATGGCTATCAGATTGAGGTTCGTCGAATGTTATGTTTGGTCGCAACTACTATAGCGGACTCTGAAAGCCCAATCTATTAAAAAATTGGAGGCATTCGAAATGTGGCTATATAGGCGTATTTTGAAAATTCCTTGGACTGCAAAAGTCTCAAATGAGGAAGTTTTAAGACGAGTTGGACATGGCGGAAAGCTTATGAACACAATTAAAATAAGAAAAACATCGTATCTGGGCCACATACTCCGAAATGATAAATACTCTCTGCTACAAGTCATCATGCAAGGTAGAATAGAGGTAAGATAGAAGAAATCTTGGCTGAGGAATATCAGAGATTGGACTATACTCAGTGTTGAACAGATATTTCACGTTGCAAAAGATCGAGAAGCGTTTAAAGAAGTGATCGCCAATCTTCGTTAGAAGACGGCACAAGAAGAAGAAGATCAAAAAGAAAGCTACGTTAAAGATGGGTGCACAATTTGCTTAAGATTCAGTCTGGTCCGTAGCGCCATTGGAAGGAGAAAAATTGGTAATCTGGTGCGGTTATTTAACTACCACACCATTTAATCGTAATGCGTTTAAAATTAAACCAGGCTGTGGATAGTAAAATGTTTGAATAAATATGGGTAAATCCAGAAACGAAGATCTAATTGTGCTGTATTCTGGAGATATTTGATAAATACTAAAAGAGATTTAGATCAAATGGATGGATGTGGAAAATAAAAGGAAAAACACTAGAGATAATTAAGAAACTAACAAAAGAGAAAATATTGATAAAAGACTAAAAACAGCTCCCGAATGTCGTATAATGTTATAATTTATATTTTTTCCTAATATTGGAACTATTTTGGGAATCTCGATTTATCAGCTTTGTCATTTAATACATTTATTCTTCTCGACTGTTATTTAAAGACTATCATTCCATTTTTGTTTACTTATATATGTTTTAAACCGTTATTAATTTTATTGTAATTTGTTATTAGGTTGTTAATTAAATGTCTATGAATAAAAA